GAAGAAGAAGAAGAAGAAGAAGAAGAAAAAGAAGAAGAAGAAGAAAAATGGAAGGAGGGGAAAAAAGAGGAAAAAGAAGTAGAAGAAAGAGAAGATAAAGATAAAAGAGTTAAAAGAGCAAAAGTACAACACAAAGTGGAAATATACAACCATGCCTAAAGTAGACAAGAGATAAGCTATTGTCACATGACAGATTCAGTTAAATTTAATTAAGTTCACTCCAATATGGTAAAACTAGGTTAAAATGGAGTAAAAAAAAAACAAAAAAACAAAAAAACTGTGTGATAGAAGTGTTAGAAATGTATAATTGTCAGAGCTCAAGCAAAAAGAATAAGCTGGTATTGAAATTGACATTTTTATTTAGTACATGTGCAGGGGGTGTTTCACAAAGATCCTAAGTTAAACTTATCTCCAAATTGGACTTAACAGTTATCGAAAGCCATTAGCATCCTTGAAAATATTTTGTAAAAGTTATTATAAAAAAAAATTAAATGTTGATTCAAATCATTTATATTTCCTATTATCATGAGAAATTTCATGTTCTTGATGTGGAATTTATGAAAAGTCTAAAATATTTGAATTTTTGCTTTTGAATATTTGGCAAAATATGGCTACAATTGGCTCTCCATAATATTGAAGTCCAAATTAGAGATAAGTTCCACTTAGGATCTTTGTGAAACACCCCCCCCCCCCCAGGAGTTTGAGTGTATTGCATTCGTGTAAATGTATTTGGTTTGACCGTAGGTGGCGTTTTACGAATTGTATAAGTGGCGCATAATTTGAAGGAAAACCAATATGCTTTTAGAGCTATTTAGAGTTTGGTACATATAAAATATGATCGATTGCATCGATCCTTAAAATGATATGTAACTTTGTAATATGATTAATTTGTAAATTACTATAATCATTTTCTTGAATTATGAAACAATATGTCTTTTATGTATATTTTGTTATCTGTATTGTATCTGCATGTGAAATGTGAAACCAATAAACTCAAACTCAAACTCAAAGAAATATTATAATATATGATGAATTGTAATGTATACAATTGTTTCATCAAAAAATGCGATGGACAAGGTTGAAAATTGTTACTTGTTAGAACCCAGGAGGGCAGGATAATAGTGCTGTGCAGCGCCTGATGGTGGCTCTCACAGGCTCTCCCCTTTTTCCTGATTTTCACACTTGAATTGTCAATTTCATCGAGTGATTTTTATATCAGATGGAAGGGAATATCCCATAGACAAAAACTATGGATACAGCTGTAACGAAGAAGTTTGCAATCTCCTTCAATTTTTGCTTGATTTTGGTTGTGATTTTGTTCCAGAGTACTCAATTTCTACATTGGACTTCTACATACAGCTATTCATCATCATCATCTTCAATCCAGCCCATTAGACCCTTTCAGACTATTTATCCAACCAAGCCTTTCACTGGAGAGACAGATTATGCCAGCCCTTCTTTTGATACTTTTGTTGCTAATCTTCACTCCTTTGATCTGAAACCAAAGTCATTGCGTTCAGGCATGACATTGGGTCTGAGACTAATCCAGTACTCAGCGTTGTATCTTCATGGATTGTGTCCCTATTACTACCCTGAGGACGAATGTAGTTTAGACAGTGACGTCTGCTTCAGTTTACAGTCCTTAGATTTGTTACGGAAAACTTGCTCTGTTCACATACAGCACCAATATTCTGTTCCCAGCTCGCGATATTGGAAATATAGCAAACGGAAAAGATGGAGAAGACGCGGAAAGAGAAAAGGCAAAGTCAGTCTTTTTCAACCGATTCCAGTAATAGTCTCGATTCAAGACACACGACATCAATCACAACAATATGTTGTATCACCAGCTCGTAGCACAAGGGCAAATACAAACCTGATACATCTGACACAGTCAAGCAGAAAGTCCAGTGACATCAGATCTCACTCACAGCCCCATTCTCTACTGAGAATCGGCCAGTGGAATGCTCGATCAATGAACAATAAAACAACAGTTATATGTGATCTTGTTCTAAGCAATGACCTGGACATTCTGGTATTGACCGAATCATGGCTTTCGGGAGATTTTCGCGATCATTCCATCATTGCAGATATCAACAGTACTCTACAGAACTACAATGTACTACACGAACATCGTCTGACGCGGGGTGGAGGCATATGCATCATATATCGATCATGTCTCCAATTGACACAAAATACCTCTACCAAATTTGCATCTTTCGAACATATGGACATGTCAGTTCGTGTCTCTTCTTCCATTCTCTTCAGAATGTGTGCATTTTATCGGCCACCTCCATCATCAAAGAACAAACTCACGTTTGAAATGTTTGTTCGAGACTTTTCATCCTTCTTGGAATCGGTGACAATTTCTGAGCATCCACCAGTCTTGTTGGGAGATTTCAACATACACGTTGATAATGGCAGGGATAGAGATTCCAAGACATTTCTTGATATTCTGTATTCAGCAGATCTCTTTCAGCATGTGAAAGGATCTACTCACCGGGCTGGGCATACACTAGATCTTTTGATTTCCAGGAAGGAGGACGACAACTTTGTTCTCAATACTGATATAATTTCTGGATTACCATCTGATCATTTAGCTGTTTCCTGTACCCTCAACTTTGATCGTCCTGCACCAACTAAGAAGCGAATTGCATGCAGGAAGTTTCGGAGCATTGACCTGGATCAACTCCGGAATGACATCCAGAACTCATCTCTTGCAGCAACAAATGACACAAATGCATCTGATATGGCGGACAGATACAACTTGGTGCTCAAAGATTTACTTGACAAACATGCACCTGAAAACCTGACACTAATCTCACTCAGGCCGAACGCTCCTTGGTATAACGAGACGGTCCGCAAAGCTAAGCGGATGAGACGGCGTGCTGAGCGCAAATCTGCCAAATCTGGCCTGGAGATTGACAAACAGATTTACGACGTCCAATGTAAATCTTACAATGATATCCTGTGTGCTTCGAAATCGCAATATCTAACGAATGAGATAGCACAGAGTGACACTAAGGGTCTGTTCCAGATTGTACAGAAGTTATCCTGTCCAAAATCACAGCAGGTCCTACCAAACCGAGACTCCAATGAGGATTTGGCAGACGAATTTGGAGAGTTCTTTCATGATAAGATTGGCGATCTTGTCAATAGTCTTGAAGTATCCTGTAATACGATGGACTTCGAGAGTCAGCCTACCTCAAAAGCAATATCTCAGTTTGAACAGGTGTCTGAAAGTACTGTTCGAAAGGTAATACGGGAGAGTCCTTCAAAATCATGTCAACTAGACCCCGTGCCTACCTGGTTGATGAAAGAGTGTTTAGATGAGCTCCTGCCATTCATAACTGAACTTATCAATCTATCCTTGTCGTCCGGAATAGTACCCGCAGCATACAAGAAATCTCACGTGATTCCACTTCTGAAGAAGAAGCAATTGGATCCAGATGAATTCAGGCATTACAGGCCAATCTCCAACTTGATGTTCATTTCGAAGGTCCTTGAGAGGATTGTCACAGCTCAACTTCGTGCATACCTAGAGACGAACGACCTGTTCCCGTGTATGCAGTCTGCGTACAGACAGTTCCATTCAACAGAGACTGCCCTCATCAAAGTCTACAATGATCTGCTACTGGCTGTCGATAGAGGGCTAGAGGCTGTTCTGGTTTTGCTTGATTTCTCGGCTGCTTTTAACACCATAGATCATGCCAAATTGATGTGTCGTCTGCGTCATGATTATGGATTTGATGGAAAGGTACTGCAGTGGCTTGCTTCTTACCTGGAGGACCGTCATCAAGTTATTGTTGTCAACAGAGTTCCTTCTAAAGCATTCCCACTCCCCTGGGGTGTCCCCCAAGGATCCGTTCTAGGACCTCTGCTCTTTTCACTGTACACGGGTCCGCTCAGTGAGGTCATCCATGCTCATGATGGCGTCATGCATATGATGTATGCCGACGATACGCAACTGTACATAGTGCTCAAGCAAAGTGATGCTTCCAGTTGCATTTCCAAGCTCAGCAGATGCGTCAGTGACGTGAAAAGCTGGTCCTGCGGCAATAATCTTGTGTTCAACGGCACAAAAACAGAAGTTATGCATATAACTTCCATGTTTCGCAATTCCAGTGTGCTACCTGATCTTGACATGGATGGCACAACAATCACTCTTTCCCAATCTGCCAAGGATCTGGGAGTCACGGTGGACAACGTGCTAAATGTGAACCAGCATATACGCAACGTGTGTCGTATCGCCTATTTCGGGATCCACAAAGTTGGAAAACTGCGAAAATTTCTGGATCAAAGTTCTACTCATCGTCTTGTTAATGCCCTTGTAACTTCCCACCTTGATTACTGTAATGGACTATTAATCAATCTCCCTAGCTCTCATTTAGCCCCTCTTCAACATATTCAGAACACAGCAGCACGCCTCATCACACGTACAAGAAAACATGAACACATCACACCGATCATTCGTTCACTACACTGGCTCCCCCTCCAACAACGTATCAAATTCAAGATTCTCATGCTGACATACAAGGCCTTTCACAAACTTGCTCCCTCATATCACTCGGCACTCATCACTCCTAAAACTCGTACTTCATCTATGCGTCTCAGATCATCATCCACAGCACATCTTCATCTTGCCCCAGGCCCTCGCACCCACACCCGCTATGGAAATCGTGCCTTTTCTGTCTGTGCCCCCCAACTTTGGAACAATCTTCCCCATGAAATACGCGAGTCCCCAACCTTAGAGACATTCAAAAGTAAACTTAAGACTTATCTGTTTAATATGTAATGTAATGTAATCATATTTTGTTTGTTTAACTATAAAGCTTTATGTAAATATTAACTATTATTATTGTATTATTGTTATTAAGAATTCGTTATTATAATTATGTATCATGTATTATATTCTTGTAATTTGTAAGTTAACATTACTTTAATTTTATTTTTTGTTAAGCGCTTAGAAACTTTGTATTAAGCGCTATATAAATGTAATTTATTATTGTTTCATTGAAACAGCAGTTTCTTTAATCATTTTTCTTGATCTGTTTTTTAAATGTTGTTTGAAACTTGAAGACACCGTAACATGAGTTTTTTTGCAGACACATTACGTTCCAGAGAAAGTCAAAGTACGAGTGTTCCGGTGGGACGGAAAGTCCCCAAATTTGTCCTTTTACGTAGAGTTTACCGCCGCCCATAGAGTAAGTTTAAATCATGAAATACTCAATACTTGTTTAATAAAGGATAAAAATGTGTAGATTAATTCAATGTTGAGATATAAACTGTGCAAGATTTTGTGTCAACGTGTCAGATTAATTTGGTATGTGCGTACAGTTTCAAATAGGGCATTGTGCGCACTGTTAAGACTTTACGTCTATCGGTCAAGTGAAAGTTGTTGTTTATTTCGAAAAGCCGTAAATTCAGTGGAAATTGTAATTTAACGCAGAGACACAAAGTGTTGCACAGATATAGTTAGAAGTGAGTGTAAATGGAGTGAGATATTTGATTATAGCTTATTTACATAAAAATGATGAAAACCAAGATTGGTTTTAAGAGTAAGAGTTAATTTCACCATGCATGAAATCTGGCTTGCAAAAAGTAGGTCACTGCTATTAGGGTCATTCACAAAGTGAAGTGTCTAGGACCTGATATTTAGTTTGTAAAAATACTGCATGCATATTGAACTTTGGTTGCTCATATGAACAAAGAACTTGGGTTTATTTGGAGAAAGTAAACATGTACGTATAACAGGCAATTTATGCAAGTGTATGAATTAAAAGGTTTAGTCTTGGCAAATTAAAGAATGCCATGCTATTTGTAGACTATAAATTCATAAAAGAAAACACTTAATGAGTGCGCATAAATTGTATGCAAATTTCTAAAGAATAATTTGGTCATTTGGTTGTATCAAAAGGAAAGGAGATTTACAAGTTTGATAAATTCTCATTTTGGCTGAGTTTGAAAATCAGCAACAGTTATTTAGCAAGGTGGATTGAATGCAAAGGAAGTCATGTGTGCTTCTGTGCATAATTATTTAGGTCAGTTGTGAAAGTCACTTTGACAGGTGTATGTGACAAGCTATTGGATTAAGGCGTTGCATGTATATGCACATGCTTGTGCTCTGAACATCATGGAGTTAATTTTTGGTTGAGATTTTTGGCAAGACATACAGTGAACCATTCAATGAAATATCTTGTGTGTAACTCTATGACTGAATATCTGAATGCTAACACCGGATTTTCTATCTGTATCTTCTTTTTGATTACAGATTGAATAAAACAGTTATGCAATTTACAAGCGGCGTCCGGTCTCATTTATCGAATGATCCATCAATTCAATTCTTGAAGTAACCAGGGGTCACCGCAGAGTAGAGAGTTCCTGATCCATTCAAGATGACGGATACAAAATCCCTGAAGCTAAGACGTCGAGGAAAAAAGGGGCGTTTTTCAAGATACAGCAACACCCTTTCCACAATTATAGAAGCCAGCAGACCAGAAACAGAAGTAAAGGAAGCACTTGAACACTTCCAATCAGCGTTTGAAGAAGTACAGACGGCACACGAGGAGTTTGCTGAGCAGATAGTTGATGATGCAGAATTTGAAATCGAAGAACGATGGATGAACGAAATCCATAGTGAGTTCAGCAGGCTAAAGATTGAATGTAAGCAGTACTTACACCGAGTAGAGCCTCAGGAAACATCAACACCGCCCCCCTCCAGTTCAACATCAGCACCGCCCCCCTCCAGTTCAGCATCAGCACCTTCATCATCAGGTACGTCGTCTTTCAAGTTAGAGAAGTTGAAACTTCCAAAGTTCAAGGGAGATGTTCGAGAATATAACATCTTTAAGACAGACTTCGTGCATCTTTCCAGTATCTACACAGATAGAGATGCTGTCACTCTACTGAGAAGCTGTTTAGAGGGAAAGCCAGCAGAAATGTTGAGAGGAGTCAGTGACTATAAGGCTGCATGGAAGTTCCTCGATGCAATTTATGGAAGTCACCGGTTCTTAGCTGATGCTGTGCTTAATGACATCAATACATTCAGAGCATTGAGAGAAGGAGAGGATGGTCGGTTTTGCGAGTTGACACAGCTTGTCCTCCGGAGTCACAACACTATGAAAGATGTTGGACACGAAGCAGATATGGACAATCCCCAAGTGCTAGCAACGATAGAAAAAAGCTGCACATTGAAGACAAGAAGGTTTGGTTCCGTCATCTAAACACGAAGGACTCTGAAGCATCCGTATCCATGCTCATAGATTGGATGACAGGGGAAATGACTGCAAGAATCAGAGCTACAGCCCCGATCAGAGCAGCAAAGACAAGTCAGCAAATACATCATATCAAGACTGAAGAGAGAGATTCAACAAGGCCAGATACAACCAGGCAAGACACAACCTTCCGTACCAAACTTCCGCCAAAGTGTTGGATCTGCCAAACAGATACCCATTGGGTTGATCAGTGTCAGACGCTCATTACTATGACACAACCAGAGAGGCTTAAGCTAATGAAGGAGAATAAAGCCTGCTTCAGTTGCTTGAAGAAAGCAGGCAAGGACCACAGAATGAGTAACTGTAGAAGGAAAAGGCAGTGCAGTGAAGGTCAGTGTAGATATTTTCATCATCCCCTTCTACACTTAGACGAAAGGAGTAGCAGTGTAACTGTAGCATCCAACATTGCAGTTGCATCCAATTATGCAGAGAGAGAAGCAATGCTGCCAGTTCTTGAAGCAGAGATAATGGGGCAGAAGGGTTCCAGTAAGGTGAAGGGGAACGTCTTGATAGACTCAGGATCTCAAGTCAGTGTTATCAAGCAGTCCGTGGCCGATAAATTGAATCTTCAGGGTACTAAAACTGCTATAACAATCAAGAAGATAGGCGGACAGGAAGAGACTGTAGAAACCCATGTCTACAAAGTTCCAGTCAAAGCTGTAGATGGTAATTCGCCAACTTACATGATACGAGCAGTAGCTCTACCCTTCATAAGTGATGTGGATGAAGTGGACGTTAAAGAAATAGCAGAAGTACTGAAAATCGATCATCAAAGTATTCATCGCAGAGGTGGAGATATCGACCTGTTGGTTGGCATAGATCATCCTACCCTTCACACAGGTCGAACACGACAAGCAGAAAAGTTAGTTGCGAGAAAGTCCCCAATAGGTTGGGTAGTGTTTGGGCCTAATCAATCCTCATCTGCTACTAGCAGGGTCCTCCATGTCCAGTTAGCATCACCAGTGGACCTACCTGTATCAGACTTCTGTAACATTGAAAGGAAAGATAGGTGTCTAACACCACCAACAGCAGAGCAGAAACCTACGTTGTGTGTTTTCTCAGAAGCGTCAGAAAGCGTATATGGAACATGTGCTTATTTGAGATGGCAGCTCACGAACGGACAGTTTCAAACCAAATTCGTCACAGCTAAGTCGAGAGGAGCTCCCTTGAAAAGGCTCACGATACCAAGACTAGAGCTACAAGCATCAGTAATGGCAACCAGACTAAGTGCGCCGATCAAGAGAGAGCTGAAGTTGGATTTGGAAAGGACAATATATTTTGTCGACAGCATGATCGCATTATCGTGGATCAGAAGTCAAGCCAGAAACTTCAAGCCGTTTGTTTCAGCCAGAATAGGGGAGATTCAAACTAACTCAGATCCACAACAGTGGAAGCACGTGCCTGACCCGTTGAACCCAGCAGATGACATTTCAAGGGGTATAACCATTGATGAGCATGAAGGTAGATTGAAGAGTGGGCCAGAATTCATCTGCTTACCCGAGGAACAGTGGCCTGAAGAAAGAGTTCAACCGGATCCAGTCGAGATCGACGAAGAGAAACGCAGCATCAAGAGAGTCTTCCACATAACTGAAGCGGAGGTAATAGATTGTGCAAGATTCTCAAGCTGGAGGAGGCTTGTACGGGTAACGGCCTACATACTGAGATTTGTTCGCCAATTGAAGTCCAGAGTTCGGAAGAAGCAGGATGAAGCTACAGCAACCGACACATCGTTGACGCCAAATGAGCTTGATGATGCCGAGACCCAATGGATTCAACACGCTCAGAAATCGTTACGCGAGAGATTGAAGTCTGTGGATCTGAAATCACCGAGTCCGTTCATAGAGAAGGAAGTAGTCCGTGTAGGAGGGAGAGTCGACAAAGGTTCAATGTCATATGAAGATAAGCACCCCATTCTCCTACCGCGTAACCAACTAATCTGCTTTCTTATCACGTGTCATTTCCATGACAAGGGTCATGATGGAGTAGCGTCGATAGTGGCTAAAGTCAGAAGGAGATATTGGATCATAAGGGGCATAGGTTAGCTAAAACCATCAAATACAGGTGTGTTGAGTGTCGATCCAGAGTACAAGATCGAAAGTCAGAAGATAGCAGATTTGCCAACAGAGAAAGTGGCCCCATTTACCCCACCGTTTCATTATTGTTCATGTGATTATTTTGGGCCAATTAATGTAAAGATTAGCAGGAACAAAACCGCAAAGCATTACGGGGTAATATTTACATGTCTCAATACACGAGCTGTGCATTTAGAGTTGGCCGTCGATTGTTCAACTTCAGAGTTCCTACAAGTGTTTCGCAGATTTTTCGCGATTAGAGGACAACCAGCCCGTATGTTTAGTGATAATGGTACACAGTTTGTAGGCGCAGAAAGAGAACTGCGAGAAATGGTGAAAGGTTGGAACGATCAGGAGTTGAAGGATTTCTGCGCTGAACGTGGAACTGAGTGGAGATTCATAACGCCTCAAGCGCCTCATCAGAACGGCACCGCAGAGTCGCTTGTTAGAAGTTGTAAAATCGCGTTGAAAAAAGCGATAGGAAGCCAAGTGTTGACACCGTTTGAACTCCACACATGCCTACAAGAAGTCGCAAACTTGGTCAATCAACGACCAATAGGAAGATCGCCCAATGACCCAGAGGACGGTGCGTACTTATGTCCGAATGACATGTTGTTGGGAAGGTCTTCTTCTAAGATACCTCAGGGTCCTTTCAAAGAAACTAAGAATCCTAATCATATGGTAGAATTTGTTCAACGTATTGTGAATGAATTTTGGAAGATATGGAATAGAGATGTGTTCCCATTGTTAGTTCCGCGACGTAAATGGAACACAGAGAAACGAAATGTACGAGTTGATGACGTAGTCATGGTAGCTGACCATAACGCGGTCAGGGGCAAGTGGACAATAGGCAGAATTGTTCATGTCTATCCTGGGTCAGATGGGAAAATTAGGAATGTGAAAGTGAAAACTGTAAGCACTAAGCTTAACAGACCAATAACTAAAATAGTGGTCATTTATCCATCTGAGGGATATGAAGTTTGAGTGTGATGTAGGTTAAAAGATAAGGACCATAATTTGCCCTCATCTGGGCGGGGAGTGTGTTTCATTGAAACAGCAGTTTCTTTAATCATTTTTCTTGATCTGTTTTTTAAATGTTGTTTGAAACTTGAAGACACCGTAACATGAGTTTTTTTGCAGACACATTACGTTCCAGAGAAAGTCAAAGTACGAGTGTTCCGGTGGGACGGAAAGTCCCCAAATTTGTCCTTTTACGTAGAGTTTACCGCCGCCCATAGAGTAAGTTTAAATCATGAAATACTCAATACTTGTTTAATAAAGGATAAAAATGTGTAGATTAATTCAATGTTGAGATATAAACTGTGCAAGATTTTGTGTCAACGTGTCAGATTAATTTGGTATGTGCGTACAGTTTCAAATAGGGCATTGTGCGCACTGTTAAGACTTTACGTCTATCGGTCAAGTGAAAGTTGTTGTTTATTTCGAAAAGCCGTAAATTCAGTGGAAATTGTAATTTAACGCAGAGACACAAAGTGTTGCACAGATATAGTTAGAAGTGAGTGTAAATGGAGTGAGATATTTGATTATAGCTTATTTACATAAAAATGATGAAAACCAAGATTGGTTTTAAGAGTAAGAGTTAATTTCACCATGCATGAAATCTGGCTTGCAAAAAGTAGGTCACTGCTATTAGGGTCATTCACAAAGTGAAGTGTCTAGGACCTGATATTTAGTTTGTAAAAATACTGCATGCATATTGAACTTTGGTTGCTCATATGAACAAAGAACTTGGGTTTATTTGGAGAAAGTAAACATGTACGTATAACAGGCAATTTATGCAAGTGTATGAATTAAAAGGTTTAGTCTTGGCAAATTAAAGAATGCCATGCTATTTGTAGACTATAAATTCATAAAAGAAAACACTTAATGAGTGCGCATAAATTGTATGCAAATTTCTAAAGAATAATTTGGTCATTTGGTTGTATCAAAAGGAAAGGAGATTTACAAGTTTGATAAATTCTCATTTTGGCTGAGTTTGAAAATCAGCAACAGTTATTTAGCAAGGTGGATTGAATGCAAAGGAAGTCATGTGTGCTTCTGTGCATAATTATTTAGGTCAGTTGTGAAAGTCACTTTGACAGGTGTATGTGACAAGCTATTGGATTAAGGCGTTGCATGTATATGCACATGCTTGTGCTCTGAACATCATGGAGTTAATTTTTGGTTGAGATTTTTGGCAAGACATACAGTGAACCATTCAATGAAATATCTTGTGTGTAACTCTATGACTGAATATCTGAATGCTAACACCGGATTTTCTATCTGTATCTTCTTTTTGATTACAGATTGAATAAAACAGTTATGCAATTTACAAGCGGCGTCCGGTCTCATTTATCGAATGATCCAATTATTATTATTATTAAGTAATATTTGCTCTTTGAAGATTCATTAATTATGAGATAACAGCATTTCGTATAACATACAATGAACTTATTATCTTATTTGGCATGTTAGAATGTTTAAATACAACACAATAATAATGTAAAAGATAGAAAGTTTAGTTGAATTCAGTGGAAACACAGGCTTCTGAAAGGGGTTGGAGTTGTTATTTAAGATGGATAATTCATGCAGTGAGAAAAGGAAACTATTTTACATGTATTAGAGAACTAAATTCATTTATTGATAGCATAAACCATGTATTTATTCATGAGTCTGTTGATATCTTTCCTGCAGATTTGAATACAAGAACATATCCTGTTTCAAGTGGCAATATAGCACGGTATGAACTGAGATCTCTTATTGATCCAAGCACGATCCATAGTCATAGATTAAGATCTAAATTCAATGCTAGATTTAGATCTAAAATGTATACTCTATCAGACTAAATAAGGTCTTACTTGCATTGACCTAGGTCCTGGTCCATTCTTTAATACTAATAAAAAGGAGTCTTTGATATATTCCAACGTACACGTTTCAAACTATGTTACTGTTACTATTCGAACTAACCTAAAATTTGATCCAATTTTCAGTATAAAGAGAAATATCTAAATATTTTTTATTAGTATAGATATATTGACTGCTATGAGAGATATATATAGTTGTCTCTATAGGCTCAATGGGACGTTACATCCTGCTATGACCCCAAAGCGCGCCGCGCCGAGGGATCATAACAGGAAGTAACATCCCCGAGAACCTATTGAAACAACTATGCTTTGAATATTAAAGCAGTCAATATATTTCTTATGGTTCTAGGACGCCCACCCCCTGGACATCCACCCGGAATGCGTAACCACACCAAGTCAACTACCCCCTAGGAAAACTACCCCCTAGGGCTACCGCCCTCTATGCCGACTACCGCCTTGGAAAACTACCCCCGGACAACTACCCACAGACAACTACCCTCTTGGAGAACAAGCCCCTAAGACAATTACCCCGAGACAACTACCCCCTAGGACAATTAACTCCTGGACAACTACCCCCGGGACAACTACCCCCGAACAACTACCCCCAGACAACTACCCCCTAGCAGAGTTGTCCGGGTGTAGTTGGGTAGAGGGTGGTTGCCCTAGGGAGGTAGTTTTCATAGGGGGTAGTTGACTGGGGGCGGTTACCAAGGGGGTGGATGTCCAGCGGGTAGTGTCTAGCCTTTTGACAAGGCCATGTGACTCTGGCTATTTATAATCCCAATCAGCGGCTGAGATGTGTCTAGAGACCCGGGTTGAACGCGCGATCGAGTGGCATTTAGCCGCGAGGCCTTTTGGAGTCTGGCTTTTACTGCTCGCATGAATTATTCATGACTTTGGATTTATTGACCATTCAGAATATCCATCTTCCAGTTGATTTTGTTCTTGATTCGTTCATCAAAACATGTTAGAAAAGGTAAGAGACGTAAACTAGTTTTGCTTATGAGATGAACATATAAATGATTAGTACAAAAAATCACATCCAAATCTAATTTACATTGAGCTAACAATCGTAAGTGAGATAATTGGACTTTCCCTGTATATAAAATGAACCAGTCCAACTCGTTTTGTTCAACGTTATAGATATTCGTACTACATAAAAATTAATGTGAACGTGATGGATAATATATGCCGACGTCACGCTATGATACTTTCGCTGATTGGACGCTACCATTTCGGTAGAGAACTCCAGAGGGAAACAAGGGTTAACGTAAGAAATCTAAACCAGATTACTAAAGGCCACTCGCTCTGGCGTTCACTCGGGTTTTCGCGATTAGTCTCTTTTTAGTCGCCCGGCGTCTATCAGACATGAGGCCTTGTCTAAAGGCTAGTAGGTGTCGAGACACGATCTTTTATATACCGTAAACAGAGTCAAAGAATATATGTCCCCCTCACTTACCAATCGTGGCGTCATCGCATTAACATTTTTTTTCATCAAACTGTGTACAAGAAGAACAGGGAAATCGGAATTGTGCTCCAGTGGAACAGGACAATTAAGCGATCAAATCGCACTGGTTTTATGGTATCCTCGCTCGAGCTCGCAAAGTAATATTTAACACGTAAACCAATAGGGATCGCAGCAAAATTTATATATGCCCGTATTTTTGCGGGCATAGTTAAAAACACGAATTCACTTTTAACCAATCAGATGACAGCATTAGGTAAGATTCGTAAAGTAAGGTATAATCAATGTACTATGTACTATGACTGACAATTGTAAGGCCTAACCAAGCCAAGCTAATGTACTGCAATCAGACACCCTATTAAGATTAGGTCTCCATAGCGTAAACAAACTTGATTACCATGATTGGTAAGTCCCACATGTATTCTATGACGCGTTACGGTATATGAAAATTATAATGACTGCTTTAATATTCGAGGCAAAGTTGTTTTTATAGGCTCTCGGGGAGGTTATATCGTGCTATCACCTCTCGGCACGCCTCGGGGTGATAGCAGGATGTAACCTCCCCTTGAGCGTATACAAACAACTATCTCTCCCATAGCAGTCATTATTACTATACCAATTCATAGTTAGAGCATGGACACTACCCTTTCTTTGATCACACCATGACCACCGCCACCTGATAATAGGGACTTTTAGATATGCACGACGAGAACGTGAGCTGCCACATATGACATCCTTTTAGGTCACATTGCCTTAAAAGGAAGTCACACATAGCAGTCCACGTTCTCGTCGTGCAAATCTAAAAGTCCCTATGTGGACTGCTTTGTGTGACATCCTTTTAAGGCAATGTGACCTCCTTTAAAAAAAATTCATGTTATAAAACCTCATTTTATAAAACAAATACAACATCATCTATAAAACAAATAATACATATCATTTTGTTTGGCATTAGTAAAATTACTCACACTCGGTACCTTCGAAACAGTCCAAACACCCTCGGCTATCGTCTCAAAGGTACATCGTGTGGGTAATTCTTACTAATGCCCTCACTGCTGTGTATTATTTGTATATTAGTCAGTGTACATAGCCTTTATTGGGTTACGTCATAAGCTTTAGCGGGCTTATAGTTGTGTAGGGGTGTGTGTAATTAGCTTGAGCTATATGTATGAATCTGTTTTCAGTAATGTGAGTTTTTAAGTATTTTTAGTATAAGGGATAACATATGGGCAGGTTTTTTTTCGTAGGTTGTCATTGTATGAAGTGTAAACGATTTACAATCACATTGTCTTTCCGTAACTGATATAGTTTAATATACGCAATAAAACAAATTGTTGGGGATTTATTTCATATAGGCCTCGACGCCAATGTTTATTTTGTATTTATACTATTTCATGTTCGCCTTCTGTCTCTCTTTCTCTCTCTCTCTCTCTCTCTCTCGGGGAGAAAGGGAAAATTATAGTTAAGCACTGCACAATTAAGCTTTATTAATACTCGCACACGGGCGACAACCGTAAAACGGCATATCTTGGTTTTTTATTTGTACGTATTATGGAGATTTTGTTTTCGTTCTCGTTGAATGCTCATCATAATAGCTAAGTTCAAGTACGAGAAGTACAAAATCCAATATTTCCTATTCACATTGCATATTAAGATAAAAGCTTGAAAAGCTTGAGTTTATTTGTTTTAAGGCAGAGGGAGGGGACAAAAGAGGTAACATGTGAAAAACCTGTCTCTAGTAATCAGAGTCTTCTACAGATAGTGTAGTCTACTACCCATCGTGAGAACACGCTGCAACTGCCATACGCTGACCTCTACCACCATTGCTGTCATAAGGCAGTATTGTGGAGTATGAGGTGCCGCTAGTGTTTTCATGCCTGCGTTGTGTCTCGTACCTGACTGGAACCTATTTCGCGGTCACTGCTTACGGGTTAGATGTCGAAAATATTGAAATAGTTTGACTAGAATAAAACAAAAAAGAGTCATGAGAACATTCCAGAAGGCAGTGTCCTTTTCTTCCTTTAACATAATTATTATAAGCAACTATTTCTTCAGAAGCAGGGGAGTTACATTTTACACAAAGTGCACAATCTAAAGTCACGCCCTACAACTCCTAAAGTATCAGGCTTTTAATTTCACAATTAATATTTGGAAGAAAAGATTATGTAAGTTTGACAATGATAATAAAATATATGTTGCAAGATAAGGCGTAAATAAAAATGTTGTTATGCCCTTTGCGACCGACCTAAACATCTTGAAATCTACGGTCGGCATGTTTTTTTTAACCGTTTTTTAGAAAAAAAATGTTTAATGAATACAAAAATATGTTTAAAAGTATTCACAACTAAGAAATATCTGCCTAAAGAGGGGCAAAAAGTAAGCTAACGTAGGGGCGCTTAAATGCAAAATGAAGCAGTTACACGCGGCTTTTAGCAGACATATCACTTGGATTCATCATCATCACTCCGCACAATCCAGCATTAACAAACAATATAATCCTAATTATGGAGTCGCTGTAGCATTAGGTTTATAATCCTCGACAGGCCATACATTTTAAACTGTTTTATTGGATTTGGCATACATTATACTATTGTAACTATTATCATGCGATACTATGCCAATTTCTGCTTGATAATAATCGTGCTTAATAGATTCAGTTACCAAATTATATAACATTTTGAGGTCATTTGATTGAAAATAGGTGTATAGCCATTCCTCCTTATAAATGGATAGGCTTGTTTTAATATTTTTTCTTAATTTAGCATCAACTTTAAAAAAACAACAACAGAAAATGCAATAAATTTTCAATAATTTTGAAATTATGCATTTTACCCCGGTCCCCAACATAACAAAAATCCTCTGGACGGCCATGCATTATGGCTCAAGGCATGGGCACACAGAAGATTTTGTTATGTTGGGAACCGGGGTAAAATGCAATAAATTATTGACAATTTATTGCATTTTCTGTTTTTTTTAATTTATGGATTAAAACTGCCCCCTACCCTATCCCCCGCTGCGTACAGTCATGGTTTAGTGACAAAACAATGGCCTCGTAACGGTGAGGCCCCGGATCAAAACCGTGTCGATGTGCTATATTAGTGCCCTTTTGTAGGGCATTAATCCTCATTACTGTCATTCATGACTTAAGGGTATAGGTCCCCTAGTTGATAAGCATAGTAGCATACACATGCTTTAGCAGTCACGCAAAACACACATTGGCAAATTGTTATTCAATAAAACCTGAAAATGTATACTATTATCTAGATCTATTATTTTCAAACTATTTTTAAAATAATTCCATAAATTGGGATAACAAAAAAAAAATCCACCTTTATGAGCGACAGTGTATATCTGGAAAACGCAAAAATCAGTGATAAACCTAATATCCTTTTGTAACTCCAAGCTACATATTCAAAAAATATGACGCCAAACAGACTAATGATGGAAAATGAGAAACAGGTTGTTTATATACCCTGAATTAAACCATTGAAAACACTTTTTCCTAAATATTCACGCATTTTTTTCCATCTAGTCATGCAGTGGACATCATACAACTTTCAGTAAAAGCAACATGACGGAAGGTAATTGAGGGTAAGAGGAAAAATAAAAGAGGCAGGATAAGAATATTTCCCAAAAATGAGAATTTGGAAGAAGAAAAATTATTTATAGATAAAGTGGATGTAAAAGCCACATGAAGCAATAATACAACAACCTAAAAAAAAAAACACACAAGACGAAACTAAAGGCAGTCGAAAATGGACGAAACTTGAAGAGGGCAACATATTTTAATTTCTAACGGAGGCCATAACAGATGCTTAAGACATAGCTTGCCTTTGTTCTTTATGAGGTTGTTCAATTCCCTAGCTCCTTTATTATACTGTAAGTCCGCTCACAACTATTTACCAAAGGAATCCTAGCTTCTTGAAGTGACGCTTTCGACACTGATCTTGTGCATTTATCATACAGAGGCTTTACAAACCGTTCACAAAGGTAGGGGGCCAATGTTATTGACACATAAATATTGCCATCTAGAAGAGAGATCTTTTTTCATTTAAGGGCAGAAAAAGTAATATTTAATCACAAATATACGACGTAATCAAACAAAACCATACCCTCCATGTCAATAATATAAAATTATAGAGGCCTACTTTATTGGGTTTATATGAAGTATAAGCTTGTATAATATTACCTTTGCCCTTCGGTATCATACGTGGCTCATAAAATGCAACGCGTTTGACTGATCCTTAAAAGTCTGTCACATTTGCCGGAAAGATTGATTTTAGTATTCAAATTTTCTTCAGAAAGCTGGAATTTCGAGCTGCGGTATGTAATTCGTATTTTCTCTATAGCCTGAGTGTAGTCTGGTACACATGGTGAATACACAGTGCAACTGCCATATCAGGCAGCATTGTGAAGTATAAAACTATTTTGCAGTGTGTCTTACATTGTTCAGTCAAGCTAAGATTTTCAGAAATTAACTATTGCGCCTTACTACTAACGGACTAAATTACGAA